GGAAGAGATGTAAAGTGGATTATAGACATAACTGCAGAGAACAGGGTGGGTGAGCATTTTCTACATCCCACATGGCCTCTGGTGAAAGATTTCAATTAAAACTGTATAGGTAGTTGATTTTCCTATGCCTCTTTTGGGGTTTTCTCCTTTCATGGTTTTCAGAACATTGATCTCCCCTTCTTACCAGCCACTGAAAAAAACCAAGCATAACCACAGCTGAAAAGTTTCCCACAACTCTCTGGCTCTTCAGATTCCTTAAAAGAAAAAAAGTCATTTCAGATTGTTCTCTCTTACAGCAGAGGCTCTAATGAGAAGTAACATGATTTAATAAGAGTCTTCCCAGGAATAAGTTATCCCCACAAGATAAGTGAAGAGCCTTCTCTTCAGTTCTGAAGGTTTTGGCTTGCCTGAGCAGAGGTCTTGCATAGAAAAGCAAGCACCGTAGTTATGTAAACCAAAGGCACCCCTGCTAAACCATTCCAATCAACAAGATATATGACACATCAGCTTCCTTAAGGAAAGTGGGTTGGTTGGTTTTTCTACTAAACATGGCACTTTTTTCCCTCTATTAACACCAAACACCTGCCCAGAAACCATCCACACTTTTTAATAAAGAAAACACATTTAAACTTCCACTACGTGCAAAATAATTTTACTGTGTACATTGCCAGTGATTACAAGTGGTACATCCGTTGTGCATCCATGATATTCTTCATTTATATTCTCCTAACCCAACAAGAAATTTACTAGCAAGGAAAACTTAATCCAATAGTTAAAATTAGCATAAAAACATGACCATCTAAAGGACTAGTCTGTTGCTGTTACACCCTCATGCTACTTGTGGATGCATGTAAGAATGAACAGTTCCAATTTTAGAGTAAAAGCCTGCTTCATTTGTGCCAGCTCTCTCTTCCCTTGGCAATTTCCTTTATTTTCAGGACTTCAGTTGGCCTCATGTAACAAATGGTTTTCATTTTACTGCACATAGTATCAGGACATTCTGTAATTTTCTCCTCTTTTGATAACACAAGTTAATTTTAGCAGATCGGATCTGTAAGTGGTCTGCATACAAGCAGATATAAGATAATTAAACAGAATTTCCCAAGATTTTTATCTTACTCTTAAACTAAAAATAGCTACTCAAGTATTAAAAAAAACCAAATAAGCTAAAGCATCTATCCTTCACAACTAAAAGCTCTTGCAACATGACAGATTTAGAAGCAGTTAACATTATATAACTTAAGATACCTATTTCCTACACCAAACCTCAGACTTTTTTTTCTGACGGAAACCAAATCTAACTGGAAAAAGCAAACAATTCATAAAACCTTTAAGAAAGGTTTGCTTGTAGACCAGAAAAGCTGAGTGCATGCATTTTAAGTTTTCTTCTTTATAAATACTGAATTAACCCAGTTATTTGCTTAACCTATGTAACAAATGTTGAGATTTGCAATACTCTTAATTTCCTCGTTCTTTCACAAGGGAACTTTGAAAGACTTGGAACTAAAGCAGTTTAGACATTTCACCCCGTAGCATTAACATGAATTCCAAATCTAAAAAGAGGAGTGTCCTGAAAACTTATTTGCAATATATACTCTTTTCCTTCAGGTTTGCAAATCCCTTGCATAATTTTCCCACAAAGTGCTGACTCAAGCTGAGAAACTGAAACTTTGTATGGAATAAAAGAGCAGAAACATCTAAACCCAACACCCCTTGACCTCATCATCAAGGCAATTCATCTCAGCACCAAGTACCACTAGTAGCACTTAATTACCAACTCAGTAGCTTGCAGGTGCAGTACAAGTAAAATTACACTACTCCCACATCCATGAACAATTCTGTTTAAATAAAGGAAGGCAGCTACACAAGATAGGATATAATACCAGTGTTTAAGGTGAGGATGTCCCAGAGCAGTGGCATTGACGGCTGTGAAGGAGAGATGATATACTTTGCCTCTGGCATGACAAAGTGGCACCTCCTACAGCACCAGCCCAGCACCAACACCCCTGAAGGGCAAACAACACCATACAGACTACCTGCTCTCCCCTATGAACCAGGGGTAGAAAGAAGAATAATCTTTACCCAGAACACTTTTGAAAACAAAAACTGACATTACAGGGGACACATAAAGACATACAAGAATTTGGCAGTAGGAATGGGGGGAGAGGAATTGCTTCTGTCACACCTTTCTTGCCTTCAGACACCAAGTTTCCCAAAACCCCACTGAATTCTAACAGAAGAGGACTGTAATATGCCCCTTTAAGTGTGGCTCATCATAAGCAACACTGGATACTGTGCATGTTCATTTGGGGACATAGACGGGCGTCCCATTTTATTTATACTCAAAGATATTGAATTTACACTCAAATTTCTAACACTAGGATCACCAAAATTTATTTTAATCATCCATAATAAGCTTACTTTGGAAGTTTTCTGTTGATTTGGTTACATCTTAATTTTTGTAGTGTATGACAATTGCATCTGCAATAGGCTCTCTTTCTCTCATTCAGACAATTACCCATTTCCATTTTAGCACCAGGATTCCAGGAGGACGGGACAGTAGAAAGGAACTCATTTGAATTTTTCCACATGCTGTTTTGGCTCTTTTCTTTGTTTTTTTTTGTTTGGTTTTGCTTGCGGTTTGGCGGTGATGTTAGCGGCTTTTCTTTGAGGTTACATAGAAGAACGTAGCCATTGAGGTTACAGAGGCACAGCTGCAATCAGGTAATGCAAATATAAGTGCAGATTGCAGCATGCCTAAAAATTTTGGAAGGGACTGTTACACATGGTGTAAGATTTTTACACAAAATATTAGCTAAAGTTTTTTGAAAATATTATCTCTGCTTTTGAAGGTAGCTTTACTCACGTCAAACAGCAAAGAAATGAAAATTAAAATATTTTCTATTTTCTTTAAAGGGGAAACAAAACAGTAGGAAGCCTATTCTACCTACATCAGGACTCTTCCATGAAATAACCATATTCAGTACTGCTTGGATCTGGAGTGGAACCTATTGCGCAGGAATTTGCATAGGAAGATGACAGCTCTACCACCTGCACCAATCCTTGCTTCCCTAGGCACCAGCCTGGAAAAAGAGAGCTCAGCTAAGCAGAGACTCTCAGCTCTCTTCCACCTACTGCGCAGTTCCAAATGGTCCATCCAAGCAGGAGCCTGTGGTCCAAATCCAGCTTGCAGGATGATTTCCCTGCTCACTGCTTTTTCTGCTGTGGCCTCGATCTGCAGCAGAGGTAGGAAGGAAGGAGAAATGACGAGCCAAAAACTGCTTTGTAGCTTTCAGCTTTTTAACTAGAAAGAAGGAATTGTCACCTCATCAATCAAGAACCTGACAAACCTTTCCCCGAACTGGCCTTCAATCCACAGCACTGAAAACCTGAGCTTTCCTATTGAGGGTGCAAAGTCTTATATCCACTGTTATCACATCAATGAAAATGTTCTCTGTCAACAGTAAAAGGAAGGATGGGAGACACACGTGCAATTAATGCCCTGAACAGGAAGAGTGAAAAGATGACAATTACCTGGATGAGCAAAATAACTAGATAAACAACACTCATAACTGAGGAATTTCCTGCCTGCTTCCCTGTTCCTAAAAGAACCCGAAGTGGAACTACAGGATGGAAGGTAAAAAAGCCTGAAAGCTCTGCTCCTCTGGCCACTCCGGACAGATTACATTCTATATCATTGTGGTTGGTTCAGTTTTGCTGGCTTGTTTGCTTTTAAAGCTATTTATTCTCTTATACACTTGTTTCAGAGTACCTTTGCTGTAAAACGTTTTTAACGCTAAGACTGTTGATAGGAGAGGTCATCAAATGAAGTTGAAACTCAAACCCACTAGAGGTAACAGCTTCTGAACTGCTGAAAGGTGGAAGAGCACCTGGGCAAAATACCACTGTACACTTTTCCTGTTCTTATTACTTTCACACACACTTGCTTTTGGCCACTAAAAGGCATTTTTGGGGGTTACAGCTTTGGTCTGACCTAGTACAGCTGTGTCTGTATGTTTCTAAAGTAACAAGAAAGCTTGATTGCACAAGCAAAGCACTTTAAGTATAGAGATCTTCAGTAATTAGGACTTCCAAACCTGTTTCCTAAGTCAGCATTTTGAAATAGCTAAGAATATTTTAGAGAAAAATAAGGTATGTGTATTAACTAAAGTGAAGATTTACTTTTTAAGTAATTGATGGATTACTGCACATAGAATCATCTGTAAAAGAAAAAACAATCACATAATTAAAATAGGAATTTATAGCAGCAACATTTGTAATTGTAGTCTCCCCAGCTAGAGCATATTTTCATATACCATTTAATTTAACACAACTTTCATTAATTCAATATAGGAACTGACCATTTCTGCACTGTAATTAGCTAGAATATCAGGCTTCCACTGCTTAATCCCATGCTGTTTTCTTTCAGTAGTTAGGTATCTTTTTATTTATTTAATTTAGTCACAGAGATTTAAATTTCAGATTAAGAATACATCCTCCCTTTGCCTAAATACCACTCTGTCCTACACTATTCAGAACTATTGCTTATCCACCCCTTTCCCACAGTATATTGGATAATTTTGCACTGACAAATCCGTAGAGGACAAAAAAAAAACACACCAAACACCAGAGGTACAGCATTTCTGCAGACTATCTGAAGAGGCACAAAGCACTGTAAGGATTAGAAGCTAAAACAGAAGTACGTCCACTCACACATCTGTAAGGTAGTGTAAAGCATTATTAAAAGTGCAAAAACCATATTGATTTGTACACAGGAGTTCAAGATTGAGAGCTTTCACCACAGATTTTAAAACTGGACTTAGCTCTTTCTTGCCTTTTTTGCTTGTTTACAGATGACATTCTTTAACCTTCTTGAATCTGCGTCTCTAAAATGTTTATCCTTGAAACACATTCCTACACTTCTGTAAGTATTATTTTACTTACAATTAAAAAAAAAAAAAAAAAAAAAAGGAATTCCTTAAGGTGGACGGTGCCTTTACCTCAGTAGCTTCCTCTTTTTGGCAGACTCGGACGGGCCTCGGGAAGCCTTGCCCGCCTGCTTCCCGGGGGTGCGGAGAAGGGCCTGCGCAGACCTCAGCCACTCGCTGGCTGGTCGGGCTGTAGCATCCCCCGTGTCCGCTCCCGACCTCGGCTGTAACCTCTTAGTGGATCCCGGAGTAGGGGTCGCCAGGCTCGTTTCTCCTTCTCCCACGCTGTCGTTATCGGATGAATACTCAGATATTTCTGTCGAAGTTGTCTAAAGAGATAAAAATATAAACCTTTTTAAACAGAATGCTAATGAGATATACTACAGCTTTATGTAGGCAGTCTTATGTTCCCTAGTAATCCCTAAACGGAATGCCAATTTATTAACATAACTCGGACAACTCCTCTGTAAATGCACAGTATTCTTTTGCCAGTCAGCACGAGCTCCTAAATGTAAGACTGCCTCTTGAGGGACAACTGGGATGAGTAATGTTTGGGTTTTTTAACAACTAGATCTGGAGAATTAAGCCATTGCTTACCTCTATCGGGAGAAGTTTCCAGAGGGGTGTCAGGATTAAAGCAAGTTTTGAGGAAAGCAGAGAGAGGCTAATGAGTGACAGGGATCATGACTGGCAGGAAAGCTGAGAGGAAGGGAGCTTTCACATTGGGATTCAAGTAAGCAGGAAGGTCAGCTTCCATAGTCCGAATGGAGGGAAGAAACACAAGCACCTCTACTGAGAGCTTGTAGCTGGCAGCCATGTACGTAACCTTTTGTTAAAACATGATTTTGACCACTAAAGCAGGTCTTCACCCATGTCCAGCACGCCTATAGCTTCCCAGGAAGGTTTCAGAAGTTGAGCATAATCTGTCAGGCTGTATCAAGGTAGCTCCAAGGAGGATCAATCACTGGTCAGGAGTAAGGGCTGTGAGCCAGCAGGGCTGGAGTTCAGACCCATAGAACCTTGCTGGAGCTCTTCTCCCAGAGACTCACAGGACACCCTGAACTCATCCCACTGAGAAAGGGATGAGAGGAGAGGAAGAGAAGGCCAAAAAAACAACTGCAAAGAGACATGGAAGGCTGAGGAGAGGGCTGGGTGGGAAAATACACCTGCTTTGGCTGAGCTTGTTTTAGTCTCCTCTAGGACTCCTGTAGAAACAGGGCAAGGCCACTGGGTTGCCACCCTAAGGTGAGCTCTGTGCAGCTGTTATGTACTTTATGCTCTCTTGACCCAGTATTTCTTTGACTATTAAGCAAAAATACTTGAAAAGTGGCATTTTACATAATACAGACAAAATTATCTAAACCATGAAATAGGCAGAAGACAAAGAAACATGAGCTGGGCTCAGTCTTCAGGAGCTAGTTGAAAAAAACCCAAACCACCACTGTCTGCAAGTTCTGGTGGGGTGAGCAATAAAAGTCTCGTCACTGACAACCAGCACTACCCCAGCTCAATGAGGCTTGCCCAAAACTGCTCTGTGGACAAGGTAAGTTAAGCAACCCAGACAGACCCTTGGAAGAACCAAAACCCAATATAAAATATTAAGTTCATCTTATCTATGGGAAACTGGAAAACCCCAAAGATTGACTTTGCTCCAGATCATGCTGCCTCAGTCACAGAGTAGGTCCTGAAAAAACTTCAGCCTGCTCCTCTTGGTCAAACGCAGTAAGCAGTGTCTGCCAGACACAGGCTGCCTGACAACTGGCTCAGATAAAGACTTTATAGCTAAAAGAGGGAAGGGAGGGAAATCACTGCATTCACTAATGCTGTTCTATGTTATTAATTAGTGCAATCATCTGAAAACAGTGTTTTTCGACTGTGCACAAAAATAGGTTCGGCTCTTGCCAGTTCTCTAATATATTCTTCACGTCAATGCTGAGGCACTGTGCTAATGTTCCGAGAGCTTACCTAAGTATTCTGGAAATTGGAAGGACCTTTTAAAGTTATCCAGAGAAGTAGAATAGCTAAAAGAATGTAATTAATATCAGTCTGTTTTAAACACAACACAGTCAACATTTGTCCCTTGGCAACAATATTCCTCTGAAAACAAACTCCTTCCACATTGGAAATGAGCCAGAAATAAAAGGTTTCAAACACTATGAAAGCAGTAAGTAAGTACTTCATTCTTAAAACACCATTCCAATGCACTCTCTTGTTTTAGGAATGCTTTAATTTTGCTCAAATAGTTACGATATCCACTGCACCTAAAAAAAGGATGCAAACTTTAAGTTCTCTGAGCAAGTAAAATGCAAATGGGGAAAGCCCTTGGGATATGCTTCAAGTTAAGCACATGTTTTAATCCCACTGACTGCTGTAAGAGTTAAGAAGCTTTCCTAACTAAAGATTGTCTAATAAATCATTTAATTATTCTGTTAATATTTATTACTGTATACTTGTTTCGACTGGACTTCCCCAAGGAAACTGTACTTTGGGGTTTTGTTTTGTTTGCTTGTTAGAGGTTTTTTTATTGATGTTGTTTTTTTAATTGGTGAGTTGGAATTTTTTCTTAAAAGAGGAAACTATAAAAATGGAGAAGAAAAACAAAGAACAAAAACTCAGCCTTCCAATTTTGTACACTATTTAACTGTAGCCACCATCAGAATTATAGTCTAAAAAGGAAAACATTTTCAAAACATGCAAATATGAAAGTATCCAGTAAATGAGCTGGCAAGACTACCAACATTATGGTGGGGAATAGCTGGCAAAATAATAATTTCATTTCTTCGATTCACTGTAAAACAATCCATAGTTAATAGTGAAGAAAATTGTGGGGTTTTTTTTAAAATATCTTAAAGATCATGAAGACAAGTTTTCAAGAGTTGTTTGCTGTAGTGTTTTTTTTTAAATTAAATAATATTCCCAGTAATATCATTAGTTTCTGAAGGACACCATTGCTAACCATAGAGAATTATCAAATTAAAAGTAGGTGATTTTTCCACTTATTATTTTGAAATATAGTAATTTTTGGTTAAAGTGGCTGAAGATACAATGGTCCCCCCTACACAGAGGCTCGGTTTCCCCTGCCCAATCCCTTCCTCTGACCCTTGATTCCAATGTAATCAACCCCATCCTGGGGTTTTTCATGACTGTCTCCCATATATCCCAATCCCTTGAAACATTTAGTATTAGACTGTTCACTAAGATATACCTATGTTTTCCAGTGATGGCCTTACCCTGACACTCTCTTTTATATCATGCTAACCCATTGTCCATATCCAGGGGCTGACTGAAAAAAAAAAAAAAGCAGGGGTTGGTCTCAATCTCTACCACAAAAACAATAAACACGGTTCATTTTGTTCAGTTTTTAAAATAAATCCATTTTCTCTGGGACTGGTTTCATTTGAAAGCTCTAAACACTCCCATCTTATGGCTCTTTCTTTTAAGGAAAAATGACAAGTATAAATGCAGAGACTACTCCTATCTTTTCTGTTAAGATTTAACTACAGGAAATCAGAGAAGTCAATGATTACTGTATCTGAGCATTCAGGACCCTATACTGTAAGGATAAGCATGTTTAAATCAAAATGCATCAAAGAAGAGCTCACAGGCTAATGTAGAGGATGGTACAAATATAAAAATAGAAACCAGAATGAGAAACAGCAAATATCCTTCCACCCTGCTAAAGAATATATGATTACCCCTGTCAGTTCATTAAGGGGGAAAAAAAAAATCACAAAAAACCCCAGCCACAGAGACAGTAAAATCCTGGCCCAAATTGTTCAGAGACAAAACTCTTGACTTCAGTGAAATGAAGATGGCATTCCAAAAGCACATAGATTTGGTATGCATGCAGCATAGAAGATACCACGATATTACTTCTGTGACCAAGTATTCCCTCCCTCATCCTCAAGAGATTTGCTTCAGCTGCCTCTTCAGTGGTAACTTGGCAATCTGAACAGTGTTTGCCTCTAAAAAGTCTGGAAAAGTTATCTTTTCACTTCAACTGTGATGGAAGCAAGAAATATCTGTATTTGATCAGTTTAACAAGCACTTGATATTTCTTATCAATAAAATAGCACATTAAGCTAATACAAGAAGTGTTCTGTTTCCATTTGAAGTTTCCAGCTTCAGCACAGAAAGCAGAACTGTACAAAACTTTCTGTACAAAAATCAATCCTGTTAAAATACATAATAAATCTGTAATTTTTTTTTTAAAAAGGCTCTCATACAGTGATTGCTAATTAGAGGCAAGGTGATGAGAAGTTACAAGTTTCTCACCCCCCTTGGTTCTCCTTTCAAGATACGTCACTCAGTGAAACTTTTCTGCAGAAAAATGTCACTATATGCACCCTACATTTGTATTAACACTTTCATTAGTTCAGCCACTGTACATTCAGAAAATGTTGTAAATCTTTCCAGTCGATATGAAGACACTTCGTAGATAAGATGCTCGATAAAAGCTCACAGATATTCAGACAAGTTCATCAGCTGAAACAAAGATGCTTCAGCAAAGATGCTTCAGTATGTCTGAATCTCCTCTAAGAGACAAAAAAATGGATATCAAATTCTATATAGGTGATGATACAACTTTTTGCAGATGGAGGTCACTTTGTCATTTCCTTCCCTAAAAATAATAAATTTATTCCCTCCTATTATCTTGCTACAGTGTAGCTCAAATGGTAGAAGAACTAGGAAGGTTTCTTAGAGCACCCTTAGAGCACCAGAAATAGAAATAGTATTTCAGAGTTTCAGACTGTGATCACTGTACATACAAAGACAAACTAATTTTGTGGCATCTCCTTTTCTACTTGTTCGCTCACGTATCTTTGCTTCTGACTGGAATTTCTTTCCATTACCTCCTGGCGGTTTTCTCGTGGACTGCCTTTTTCGTGAGAAAATTCAGAATTAATTTGCATTTCCCTTAACTGCCCTCTCATGACTGGTCTCAAGGTGGGTGAAAGCTGACTGATATTAACACACAGAGAGAGCGAATTCAGACAACTATCCTATTGCCTCTCCTTTTATAAAGCCTTCCCTTACAATAAGCAACGCTGCATTTGCACTCCAGGTACTCTTTGCTGTCTCCTGCATGCGATGGGATTCAAATGCAGCAAACTTCTACCCCAGGGAGCTGGTTACAGCTTGCAAGGAGATTTGGTATCTTGCATGGAAGTCTCCAAAAGACAAAGTGAGCAGAAAAGCCACTGGATTTGCTACAATGAATATTCACGAGCATAAATCACAAGCGCAGTGTGTCAAAGGCCTAGCCTATGCAAATGAATGCTCGAAGCTAACTCCACCAGAAGCTGGCTTGCAGGATTATAGGGAGTAG